TAATGATATGAGTACACAGCAAAAATTCCAATTAATTGCACTTAACTCTGACTCCAGAAAGATATACCAAGAGGCTATGACCTTCAAAGCAAACATTTTTTATTAATATAAATAGGGATATTATCAATGAGGAACTCATATTTTACAGTACAATCGGCGACATTACTATATCCCAAATGAGTATTATTCATAACTTTCTGAAATAAGAGGCCTACTTATTTCAGTGCATTAATTCCGAGTATCATTCCTAACATCACTTTAAGCGACCCAAATTGATTCAAATTCCTATTTAAGACCTACTAATAATTTCGAGATTGACAGCCTGCTGTAACTAGATATATGGATGGGTATGCTTCAAAACTATTAATAAATTATAAATAAGAACGATAGCTATCATAGGTCGATTAAAGTGATGTAAGGACCGATGCCCGAAGTTCACACAATGAAATAAGTTGGCCTTTTATGTTACAACATGTTTTAAAAGAGCGTTAATTGAAATTTAATAATTGTTGAGCCCACTTCAATTTGGAATGAAAGTGTGTGGTTAAAAAATTCAAAATTGAATTCCGCCAGAACTGTCGATTCGCTTTACCAAAAAATTATTGTGAACGCTGTTTCCGATGCAATCTCCTTAGATTCAGATGAAAAATTGCTAAGCACATGTCCTTTCTCTGACGGTCTACTTGACTCTTTAGCATGAATATAGTTGAAAGAATAAAACCCTGATCTGATGATATCCGTCAGATGACGGACGAAAGCTTAACACACTTTCGAAGGAGATTGCCTCGTAGACAATGTCAACGAGAATGTCTCAGTTAAGCTAAGCAACAGCTGGTAAAGAGGAATCCGCCATCGTCTTCTGATGGGATCGACCTGCGAATCTTTTCACCAAACACTTTCACTCAAAATGAAAGTAAACGCAACAATTATGAAACAGGAGAGTCCCCTTATCATCGCATATGCTGTTTACTACATTCCTTCTGGTGGCCAAACCTCAAGTCAACTGTACTTCTCACCTAATTCTGCAGTCCTGCTGCTCCGCACCTTGCCTTAAGACGGTCGTGGCAGGCACCTCATGAGGGTTCGTCCAACCAGAAGAGGCCTTCGCTGCCAAACATTCAACCCCTGTCTCTGGCCCAGAAGAGTGGTTGTCATGGCCACAACTAGTGCGGCAGTTTAAAGTGGCCAGACGTTGTGGATACAAACTTGCCTCTGAAGCAAGGCTTGAGCCGAGTCGTGAGAAGCCACCAGAAGGGGATATAGAATTTCGGGGTGAAAGGCCTGTTGTGCTAGCGTTAACGTTGGAGACGGTGGCTGTCAGAGGGTTGCGGAGGTTGCGCACCTTGTGTATCAAGACCTTGAGCTGCTCCCGTGACCGGTGGTAGCTGACGGTGAACCAGACTCGCCCAATGTGCCCCAGAGGGATGTCGTAGAGCTCTTCTGTGTCCTCGGTAAGGTAAAGGGCGGGATTTAGTCGGCCCAGCTGACGTCCTTGCACTGTAGACATGCAGGCGAGTGTGGGGGTGACGTGGCGAGATGAGTAACTTTTCTGTTGGAACTCAAGATAAATTCATTTAATGCGAAGAAATGTTGGGTTTTGAGGACTATTATGCTTTGTAAGCGTAGAGCTTACTTCCATTTCGAGTAAAATTTTGTGGTGAAGAGAGTCGAAGTTTGATCATACCAGAAGACGACGGCGGATTTCTCTTGATCACCTGTTGACGCTGTTTTCGGGACAATCTTCTTCGATTCTGGCGAAAACGTGCCAAGCTTTCGTCCACTATATGACGGTTTTCCTGACTCGTTAGCTTGCATATGGTTGTAAGAATGATATGTATTCACCCTATTTCGAAACCCTACTTTAATACGAATGTAAGAATGATACCCTATTCTGATGATATCCGTCATGCGACGTATGAAAGCTAGGCACGTTTTCATCGGAATCGAAAAAGAAACAGCGTCAACTAGTATGTGTTGGTAAGGATAATCGACAGCTGGCTAAGAAGAATTCGCCGTTGTCTTCTGGTAGGATCGGCATGCGAATCTCTGCGCCAAATACTTCCACTCAGAATGGAAATGAGCCCAACAATATTAACTTAATACACAAGCAAGGAGACATTCCTTGGTTGTTCAACAGCCATTCTAGCCAGCACCTGAAGCTCCACCGATTCGACTCCCATTAAGCATTCTGAATAGCTTAATCAATGCATAAATCTACCTTGGATAAGAACACGATTTCTGAACTTACAGTATGAGGTGGTTTCGCGACTATCCGTAGTTGTTGAATAGGAACTGGAGATCCCTTAGATAGTTTCAGATGATGTAATGACTAATAGGTGAATTTTCTACAGTAGAATAATAGGAAGTTTTACTATGCTATTGAATTTTATTAAATATATTTTATTCGAGGTTGTTTGACCTTCTTTTCGCAACATGGTCATATTGGTAGGAAGACTTATTGAACTGCACCTAGTCCGGGGTCCATTGTCTGAATGATCATTTCCAAAGTTGAACCGTGGACGTGGGACATTCCCAAACGTTGCGCCGGCATCGTAGTCGGCATCGTCAGTGAGTATCGCCATCCTAAGCACCATAC